AAGTACAAGAATTAATAAACAAAATAAATTTACTTTTGAATTAATTCATTTTGATGTTTTAAATCTTTGTCCTGTTGTAAAACATGATTTAAATATTTTATTACCTTTGTGGATGATTTTTCTCGAATGCCTTGAATATATTTTGACAAATCATTCTGAAGTGTTTTCTCACTTTTATACTTTTATGCTGAAATTAAAATCTAATTTAATGTTTATATGCATGTATTGAAAAATGATAATGCTAAAATATATAGTCGACTCATTTCATATCATATGACTCAACAAGGATCTTCACTAGTTCTCTGTGTTGATACACCTCTCAAAATGGATTTACTGATAGAAATACAAATATTTACTTAAGACTGCTCGAGCCTTTTGTTCCAAACACAAGTTCTTAAACAATTCTAGGCTGATGATGTTTCCATTGCCTATTTCTTGATTAATCGTCTACTGTCTATAATGCTTGATAGAAATGTTTCTTACAGTGTTTTTTTTTCAAACAAGTCATTATTTTCAGTATAGTCGTGGGTATTTAGTAGCACCTGTTATAGTCGAGATGTACGGCCTAATATTACCAAGTTGGACACAAACGCCTTAAAGTGTGTTTTTTTGGGATATTCTCCCTTTCAAAAAGAATATCGATGCTACTCTCTATATCTCAATAAATATTTGGTATCAACTAATGTAGTTTTTTTGGAAAATACATTGTTCTTCTCCTCATTGTCAAATTCTACAAATCAGGGGGAAGACGATGAATGGTTCATCTATAGATTCATACCAAATGCCTCTAGTAAGCAATCAAATAATAATGTTTCTCTTGATGATGTGCCTTCAGCTCTAGTTGAGTAAACTAATGATGGTATTTGTGTGCCTTTAACTCAAGTACAACTGTCAATTCTTCGTGTTTATTTCAGAAAAAAACCAAACTAATGATACATATCTTGCACCAGCTTTTTCGTCATCTGATCCTACCCCACATAACTTAAATTTTTCCGTTAGTCTTTGCAAAAGTAAACGTCAATGCATTATTCCTAACTCTATTTATCTCATTGTTAATTTTATTTCATATAATCACCTATCTCCTTCGTCTAACTCTTTAATTGTTTATATAAATTCAATTTTTATACCCAAATCAGTTAAGGAGACTCTGAATCACCTTAATTGAAGTAATGTAATACTTGAGGAGATCAATACTCTCGATGAAAATCATACTTGGGATTTTGTGGATTTACCTACAGGTAAAAAAGTTGTGGTGTGCAAATGGGTCTTTTCAGTTAAAGTAAACTCAGATGCCTCTGTGACAAGACTAAAATTAAACTTGTAGCAAAAAGTTATGCTCAAACTTATATGGTAGATTATTTGAATATTTTCTCTCCGGTGGTCAAACTTATATTTGTCCGTTTGTTCATTTCTATTACGTTATCTCAAAACTGGCTATTATACCAGTTGCATATCGAGAATGCATTTCTTCATAGCGACTCTTAAAAAAAGTGTATATAAAACAACCACCAAGCTTTATTACTCAGGGAGAGTACGAAAATCTGTCATATGAAGAAATCTTTGTATGGTTTGAAGTAGACTTCTCGTGCGTGGTTTGGCAAATTTAGCGAAATAGTTTTGGAATTTAGGTTGAATAAGAGCATGTGTGACCATTCGATCTTCTATAGATAATCAACTAGTATTATACTTTTTATTATTTATATCGATGATATTGTCATTATAGGAGATGATTGTGCAAGAATATATTCTCTCAAGTCATTCTTGCATACCAAATTTCACACCATAAACTTGGATCAGCTGAAATACTTCTTGAAAATAGAAACAACAAGAAGCAAGAAAGACATTTTCTTATCTCAGATGAAATATGTAGTTGATCTACTTGCAAAAACTGGAAAGCTGTGAGCTAAGCCATACAACATATGAATGGTGCTAAATGTACATATTACAAAAATGATGCAATCATCTTGATGATCTAAAAGGATGCAGGCGATTAGTTAGGAAATTAAACTATATCAAAGCGACTCGTTCAGATATTACATACGTTGTCAGTGTTACTAACCAATTTATATCTACACTCAGACATTAAGAGACTCTAAAATAAATTCTGTATTACTTAAAAGGAGCTCCAAGACTTGACATTTTGTTCAACAATCATGAACACACTCACATTGAACGTTTTGCAGATGTTGATTTGGCCATATCTAAAGTTAGTAGAAGGTCCATTATGGATTATTGCGTTTTTATTGGTGGGAACCTGATATCATGGAGGAGTAAGAAGCAGGTTGTTGTATCTCAGTCCAGTGCCGAGTCCGAATACAGAGCTATGACCCAATCTGCATGTGAAATCTTATGCATACAGCACTTTTTAGCAAAAGTTGGTTTGAAGCATGTGTCACCTACAAAACTCTGCTATAATAATCAAGTTGTCCTTCATATTATCTCAAATCTGGTATACCATGAAAGAACCAAACATATCGAGCCTGATTGTCACTTTATCCGTGAGAAGATTCAAGAGAACTTAATCTCTATTGATTATGTGAAAACAAGAGAACAACTAGGTGATATATTCACAAAAGCTTTAAATGAAACTCGGACTGAATATCTTTGTAAAAGCTAGGTATGATTAATATATATGCAGGAGTAAAGCATATTTTCCTTGTACAATAGCACAATTGTAGGCAATTGATTTTCCATATATAATACTGTAATTATAGGCAGCAAATTGATAGGTTTATTAAGCTAGTTACCTTATATAGATCCTTCTGTATGTGTATACATATCCTTGGTCTATTTGGATAAAATTATCAGAGACATTCACATATTTTCTCGTTTAATTACAATAATAAAAGAGAGTTTGTAGAGTTGATTTTATTAACTATTTTTTGGTGTTACAAGAATAATAGGACTTTTGAGGGAATTGAGGTTGAGACACACAGAATTAGAGATAAATGATTTCATTATTTTCGACCTATCTTGTTGAGTCATGACATCTACATGGATGAGGATTTGGAAATATCACTGATACATTAACTCAATTATAATTTTTTTGTATACGGGTGGTACCCCTTTATATCTTGTTAATATATATACTTCACACTTTTTGTTTCAATAAAAAATGTGGAGCTTTCTTTTCCTTTGTCAACTCTTTGCTTGTGTTGTTCACAAAGTCAACTGTTTGGTGATTCTTTTGGTCTTCTTTCCCCTTGTCTAGAAAGGTAATGGAATCAAATTATGTTAGCTCTTGCTAGCCAAGCTGACCTCCTAAGCCCATTTCCTGAAAGAATGAAATGTTCTATTCTAGCCTTTCCACCATCTAACATATCTGTCTATCTTCCTTAATACGAGAGCCTGATCCTTCCACACCCAAGCAAATCAAGTCACATTGCAAAGCCTACTCTTGCATTTCTTTCATTAGAAAACTTCAACTCATGATCCGTGGAAGACTTCATTTTTCTCTTCTAGATTCTAATTCTATACGACATATACCAGTTTAAAATCTAATTCTATATCATTTTTCTCTTCTAGATTCTAATTCTATACGACATATACCAGTTTAAATCTAATTCTATATCCATCCAAGAGACAATCTCTATATGAGTATGATTTCAATATGATAATCGCAATTAAATGGAAAAGTCGTATTTGTAATGTAACAATTTAAAGTCTAATTCTATATCAAGTTTAGACTAGTTCTTCTATACCGAAGTACACTCCACTTCTATCCCATGGGACAGCCAAAGAAGAACTAGCAGGCAAGCCAATCTAACAAGATTTACTTTTCTTGGCGATATCTGAAGGAATGAGAAATGTCAAGTGGCCTTCCAAAGTTTTGATGGAATATTGATTTTCCTGGTTTTGATAGGTCAGTTGACCGCTTGGGATTATTTGATCATTAAAATCTTTTTTTTTTTTGCCAAAATGGCAGGCAAGCCAATCTAACAAGATTTATTTGTCTTGGGGGTGCCCAAAGGAATGAGGAATGTCAAGTGGCCTTCCAACACTTTGAAGGATTATTGATTTTCCTGGGTTTGATAGGTCAGTTAACCTCTTGGGATCGTTTGATTATCAAAATCTTTTTTTTTGCCAGCGACACTCTCATTCAGTCTCACATATACAATTCAAAACAGATTTTGATGATGCAAATCAAGAGTTCCAGCTCCATCAATTACTAGCTCAATTTACCACGGATTTTGGTACACCTACATGGTTTCCACCTCCAGCATACAATTCTAAATTCTACTGGTGTCTGTTCAGCACAGGAAATTATTCTAGTTTTTTAAGGGCATAAAATTTACTTCAATGCTAGTTGAAGACTTCCTAACTGTTTGGACACTTCAATGACCTTTAGGATTCACTACAACTTTCATTCCATCCATATGAACCACAGGGGCAACCTCCAGATTCGGGATTTTGGGTGGTTATTTACCCTGGGCTGACTCGGTTTCTCATGTTGGTGCTTGAGGACAAGAACCTTACAACAGAAGGTTGCAATCCTATAGACAAAAAGTAAATGCAATGCTCAAAAAGGAGACCAAGGACCAAAAGCAGAAAAGCATGCAGTGTTAAACTCTTGTTGTTTTAGCTTAGGATTCAGTTTTAGGAGTTATTTAGGAATAGAAAAATTAAGCTATTTAGAAATAAAATAAAATAGAAAGTTTAGGTTGACTAATGATGTGTTAGACCCTCCTAATCAGGAAACCGGTAGCAATAGCCTTCCCCATGTATATGTGTAAGCTATTTCATCAATAAAGATCAGTAAAGAATTTATCCCCCAAAAAAAAAGCTTTTGAGTGCCTGACTCTAGAAGATTATCAGGTTGCCTAGCAAACCCTAAGCCTTAATTCAACATATTCAACCATAGTTGGCTGATAAAATCCGATCCTGAGACCAGGATGTTGACAGAGCTTGACTAATTGTTATCCCCACTCTCAAACTCATAAATTTGCATCCACTACCAATGCTATTAGTGACAAAGAAAGATGAAGATTCATTTCAACTACCTTCATCCAACCGTTTTACCAACTGTGTGTACATTTCCCCCAAAGAAGCATTTTGTTCATCAGCTGTCATTCTTGCCTCAGGATATTCTGATAAAACCTTCAGGACGAAAAAGAATAACAATGAGGCAAAAACATTATAACATAGAATTGATGCAATCACTTAAATAAAAAAAAATAGAATTAATGCAATCATACACTTCCATTTGTAAAAGTCGAAAATTTTTTAGATTAAAAACAAGAACTACAATCAGTCATTGAGTAATCAGAGACCCACATGCCGGCATACCTCCCCATACCTGCTTCAGCTTAAAGGATAGCATGCCCTTCAATTTTTCCCAATCATGCCTGCAGTGTAATACCATTTAACATAAATAACCATCATGTATTAATCTCTCTCTAGCTCCTCTACCCTTTCATGTCAACAAGATAGTTCATTAAAAAGTTAACAAATTGGAGAAAATATGTTCCAACCAAGACTGCATATAAGGGGTCCGGAAGAGAGTTACCATAAATATGTAAAAGCATGACAACGATGCAAATAACAAGCAAAAGAAAACATTAAGAGAAAACAAGAAAACCATTTATGATTAAAATGGCTCTTCAAAAAAATTAACTTAATCTCACATGATGAAGACTGCAACCCATGAAACATTTTCATGTTTCCCAATAAAGAATAGTTTGACATATTTCTATCTTGTTGTGATTACAATTATGCTGAAGAAATAATACACTATTATAGAGATACCTAAGACAACAATACATTTTTCTTTCTTAAGGATTGGCCAAAAGCATAGCTACTCCCCGAGGGCATCATGATTGGAGTATTCAATTCCAGATCTTATGGCACTACAGCTTCACCAAAACACTAGTCTAAAAAACTATATAAGTTCACATTTAAAGAAAGCATCGATCAACCTAAAACCTCTGGTAAAACATTTTGAACTATCAGTAAAACATGTTGAAGGATTATGCTTCCTCAAAGGAAAAGGTTTTTATTTGGTTTGCTATTTTTGGTAGGTTGAGTACAAATGATTTGCTCCAAGTTTGCATACCCAACCATGCTTTGTCCCCAAGATTGTGTTATGTGTTCCAAAGCTGTTAAGACTCATAACCATCTCTTTTTGTAATGTGACCAGGCTTAAAGACTTTTCTTCCAAATATCCGAATTTTTTTCTTGGACTTCCCATGGTAATCCTGAGATATTTATATCACCTGCACTTCTAGATTTTGGCAAGAAAGGGAGATCCGGCCTTTTGGCACCGGGCAATGGTAGCTGGCTATGGGTGATTTGACTGTGAGAAACCCTTAAAATGTTTACAGATAAATTCTCCAGGTTGCTTCTTTGGAATAAACCATCTTTCTTGGCATCCCTTTGAGTTAAGGAGGCACTTTAAAGAATAGAAATTATCTATTGGCTAAAGGATTGGCTAGCTATCTTTTCCTCAGTCATTGGACTTTCTCCTTTTTTTATTTTTTTTCCTTTTGCTCCATTTTTTGTGCTTTTTTTCTTCATCTATTAATATTTCTTTCTTCTATCTAGAAAAAAAAGACAACTTCGTGAACAATTTCAGTCTAATGCAATATATCAAGACTGTTTTCTACACAAAAAGAAATATTATTAAGAAGAGAGAGAAAATTACATATGAGGAGAACTAGATATCCTCCTAGAACCTTCAAATCAAGAGTGAACAGCATAAGATAAATTCAAATCAAGCCAAATTATATATCACGTAGTACCAATTTCCAAATTATATATCACGTAGTACCAATTTTACACCTTATTCAGGAACATAATACTGGAATATCAATAGAGTAAAGGTGCTTCACATGTTCATGTCAAGAAAAAGTAAAAGATCCATCACATCATGTGTTTTAGTATCATATGTATTATGAGAGCAACAATCGCTATTCCTCACTATCAAAAACTCAAAAAATGGAGAATTACCAAAATTTCCCAGTGGATGCAATAACTTCCAGTGTGCGTCCAACTTCTTCATCATCGACAACAGGTTCAGGTTCAGCACAACTAAAATACCACGGGCAAAACTAACTTATTATAGTGATTTACAGGAGAAATATCAACAAATAATTAACATTGTCCTCATATCTGAATCAGTACAAAAGAAAGAAGAGGAGAATAAAGGTAAAAATGGATGTTTGTGATTGTCATTATTTCCATGAACTTAATAGAACTGAAACACAATATAAAGCTTGAATAGCAAAGAAGAATTCTATTGTTTAATAATTATTTTAAATCAGAGGAAATTACAGTTCCACTGTTTCTCTAATCATTATTTTAAATTTGACTAAATCAGTAGTTTCTAAAACTTCATGCCAGTTCTAAGGAAGCTCCTGTCTGATGATAACAGGTAGAATCTTCTCTCTGCTTAAAAGTATCCCATCCAATAAAATCAATATTTTCTCATACAAAAAGAGAATTGTGATAAGTGTTATAATCCTTGTTCGCTGATAATTAAATAACTAATCATCCTGCTGGAAGATGTGCCACAAGAGGGATCTATGTTTTGGTAGTAACTTGATGCTATGCTTAGATAATGTTAAAGAAACAACAAATTAGCTTGAAGTGTATAAGAGTAAAATACACCTTATATAATAAATTTTAATTAATTGTTTATTTCTTTTTTCATCCTAAAAAATCTGTCTATGTAGAGTTGTAATATTCAATAAAATGCACATCAACCATTCTTAACACAATATATGTAACAATCCAAAACACGATTTGCATAATTGCAATTTTTTTTTTTGTTTAACCTACACTTGAGATAATTTGGCATGATTTTGAGGTATGTTGGTAAAAATTGTATGTGATTAATATTTAATTTGAGGTATATTTTTGGTGAAAATTAGGAACAGATATTTGTTTGATAGGTAGATGGAAAAAGAGAAACTATCCCTAGGGCGAGAGAAAAGAAAATTAGAGTGAAAAAGTGAAGAAGAGTACCTCCCCAAGAGAGAAAAATCCCCCAAGCGAGGAAAAATCCCCCAAGTGCGAGAAATGAAAGGGAGAGGAATTTATTCCCCGAGAGATAAAAATGAGAGGGAGAGAAAATCCCCCATGTCGGAGAAAAATTCTCTAGGGGATTGGACACCATTTGGACACCAACACAGCAAGGTGTCAACAAAGGGAAGCAAATGGAAGCAAGCTGCCCAGCAAGAAGGGAAATTGAAGCTGTTGGCTGGAACTTGAACAAAAATGGGACACCAAGACATCAATGTGTCAACCAAGGGAAGCAAATGGAAGCAAGCTGTCCTGAAAGAAGAAAAATGGAAGCTAGCTAGCCGGAACTTGAACAAAAATGGGACACCACGGCATCAAGGTGCCAAGTTTGGGAGGAGAGGAAGAGATAGGTGTCCTCTTGCTTGAACAAATGCATGATACTTAGTAAATGAGATATCCTCTCCTCACAGACTCTCCACCACTATAAATAGGAGGGACTAGAATGGGAGAAGAGCAAGCAACGCAAGAAGAAGAAGAGGAGTAGAGAGAAAAAGAGAAAAGTCGAGAGGGAGACAAATGAGGAAATCTGAAAGGCTGAAGAAAAAGGAGAACCCAAGAGAAGAGGGAAAATTCTGAGAGAAGAGAAAGAGGAAGCTGAGAGCAAAGGAGAGAGAACCCGAGAGGAGGAAGAGGAAGAAAGAAAAGAGAAAGTAAGTAAGAAAGAGCTGGAAACCCAAGAGGTCCAGCCTGAAGCTGAGAAGATAAAAAGCTGGAATTAAGGTAAGTAATGTATGAATTTTTATGATTTTAGAATGTGGTTTAAGTATATCATAATAAGCAAATATTTCTGAAGCCAATGCCGCTCTCAGTCGCGTAGTTTGTCCAGACGCGCATAGCGTGCCATTGTTACTTTCAATCGCACAGTTCACCCAGATGCACAACCCTAGATGTCAGCATATGCGCATCCCCCAGCCACATTGTACACCAGTCTGCACGTCGCTCCCGATGGGTTTGCAAATATGTCTACACAACACTCCTCTACACATCGTTCTCATCTGTTCTGTTGGTCCAGCACAATGCCACTCTCTGCACCAGAACCACACTCTAACATAGTGGTCAGGTGCTTCTGCTCAGACTTTGCTCATTCCCAATGGCCTCTTTCTGCAGCCACACACTGTCGACTGCACCCTCCCACGGCACAACCGTTCCAACCAATATTATTAACCCTAGCCATGTCCAGTTTGTCTCCCTAGCATAGATTCACAAATGTTGAAGGTTACATCTCAATACACAGGCTCATACTCCCACATGAAGGATATCACCAGTGATTTTCAGTCACTGCAAATTGCCTACTGGTTCAAGAAAAAGATTATCCGAGTTGGTACCAATTAATTTGGATCACTCTTAAAGGAAAAGGTAAG